ACCGAAACTATGTTTGGTTCCCGGGATTCGAATCTAGGACTCATCGCGTTGAAAGCAACGTTTGGCATTGCGTTTGTATTTATACTTAAATTAGATGTGAATTAACATAACTTAAGAACTTTTTTCTTAGAAAATCAAAATTCTAATTGTAGCTACTCCTTATTATGAAGTGTTAAGAAAACAGAATAAAAGAAAAGTTTATGTGTGTGTTTGTAAAATTCCGTTTCCCTCACTTCGGGCATGGGAGCAAAAGCATTTTTGAGTTTACGATTTTATTTACACGTAAGCAGTTGACCAGAGTTCCATGAGGAGAAGAATATATTGAGAATCATTCTTATGAGTCACTTTATACTGAACCAACTTGATATATATTTATTTATTCTCACGAATACTACCTATGCCATACTCATGCGAACGCTTCCTTCATCGTTCGTAATCAGAGAAACTCGGTGACATTTTCCACTTGACAATTATCTGTCATTAAAGGGTTTATGTGCTCGACCTCGCAATGATTTGTTCCTGATGCCGTTTCCTTGGTCGGAACCTTGGCATCGTATTGTGTGTTAAGGCCAGTGATGGAACTATAGAGTCCCACACCCCACGCGTTTCTATTCTGTGTACGAACCACAGCTACTAGCTATTATTCGCAGTTTCTAAATTTGACAATTGACATTCCTTTTCTGGTAATTGTTTTATAATCGATCGTTAATCTAGAATAACACACATAACATAGAAAGTCTTTTATGTTCTGTGTACGCTATGAGTCTTCGGTTACTATTGTAATTATTTCTTATAATCTACTTGAATATTCATACATTTGCTTTTTTTACGTTACCTCTAAACCAAGGATTAAAACAGGGGTAAATAAAATGCCGGTTATTTTTTAAAAACTGGATGATTTATTTTTTACCATATAATAATAATATATATTCATTATTGAAACAAAGTACGATACAAAATGTACACGATCGCTTAAAAATAACTACAGTAATGTTACTTCATACTTAACACATTAAAACTACGTACATTATATGCAATAGTACCTAACAGATACGAGACAATAATTTATACAACGCCCGAGGTTCTGAACTTCAAATACGAAATAACTTAGACTTAAAAGAAAGTTCTTTAGTCGGATCGGATGCGCCCGCGCAGGGGCGAACGGGATCATCTATGTACATTTTGGAACCACTACTCGGTCATCCGAAAGCCATATTTAGTGCTACATTATACAGAGATCCATCGGTAACGGTTATCAAACAGCATCGATCATTTTTGGTATCAATTGAAAGAGAATCTAATAAATCAGGTAGCCAAGTGGATAGTCCACCGCCTGGCAACGGGCTGAACACAACTGCGAAAGGACTAGAGTCGTCCGGACCGACTGAAGAGTGACCTGACAAAACTATTTACAACGGACCGACGCTTCAGTCCACAATTCACGTTTAAACCACGCTTCGTAGCATCGAAAGTAGAAATTCGTTTGGCATTAGGTACTCTCAACAGCAATAAGCACATGATCCGAAAGGTATACATATGCCGCTACTCATATATCGACTACCTTAAGATTACGTGATAAAGTTTAATGGACCATGTTTTATAAAATTTCCTTTCGATAAAAAATATTTACAGTAGAAATAAATGGAATACGAAAGTAAAAGCCTTAATCGCACATCGGTCGAAGCCCTAGAGTACTAAAAAGATACAGATGGCAGAACTATAGCGTAAAAAGTATATCTGTTCGTTTTAGTAAGCCAGGTGACGCGACAGTGCGCGCGGTGAAATCGTAAAACTCAACTCTATCTGTACTCGTAAATAACGTTAACTCTAGCATTACACCTATGTTAGTTCCTCGATTTCATTGTGCGAATCCTTTTAATATTATCGATACAGTTAAGATTACCAATAATAAACAGCTACTTCAACGAGATACAATTACGGCATCGACCGCTACGGCCCGATGTATTAAAACGTTCGGTTAACATTGATTAAGATAGACACCGATTACTATGATTAAGTGCTAACGGAAACGTTCGTTGTGTCTCAAAGTGGAAATACCTTAGAAGCCCTATAGAAGACGCTTATCCATAAAAATCAACAATACATACACAATATGATACAGGGATAGATCAATTTTCACAAACAACATAACGAGAATAATTTCAACCTTTTTTCAGTTCTGTGAATAACTCACTAACATTTTAAAGAATTTACAAGACATTATATAATATACGCTTATAAAATTGTAAACTCTACTCGCATTATTGTAAATCGAGGGTACGAGTTAGTGTCGTCAAATCGAAACTCGAGCGAGCGGCATCGGAACGCAGAGCGGTAACACAATTTCAAGAGTTCGTGTCGAAATAAAGCTTTACATAGTTACAGTTAGAGATAGATAGCTTTCGAAGTACACAACAATTTCTTTCATAAATATACTTTATTAGATACAAAACCTACGATAACTACGACGTCCTCTATGATATTTATTTCTTTGAGACGCACATTATATTTAAAATCTAATATTTCTCACAGTGTCGCTTTATTTTGACTTTTCAATATATAAACAATTTACTTATTTACATCGTTAATTACATTTACACATTTCGAAGTGAAGCTGCTACGTAAGAAGCCTATGTCCAAGCAAAGGAAGCCAACGGGACTCGTAATAACGCTCGGGAACTACGACCTAAATTTTAAAACGAAACATCCAACCCTGATAAGTCCAATTATTGAACCACAACAAGCGCTAAATACATTAAATTCGATGTCGTTCTATAAATACTCAGGGGTTAATATTACTTACATCCTTCTAAGGGGCGTGTGAGGCGCGCTTCCGACCGAACGAGAGACGATTTTAACACTAATTTGAGCGTCCGTGTCTCTATGAGTTTATTGCTCGAAATCGTTGGATTCGTAGTGAAGGCGAAATTTAGCACGTAAGAAGCCGTAAAAACAAACGACAGCGCGAACGGAACGTACTCGCACGGAAAGTCTTGTAAGTCAGTTCCGAACTTATACCGAAGTAAAATTTTATTGTCGAAGTTTCGAATTCTCATGAAATAAAGCACACCGAACGTGAACGTGAATATATTGAAAGTGAGCATTAAACTCGGCTAAACGATCCAAATAAACGGCTGAGAAGAGACGTATCGCCGGATGACGCGGCCCTAGCTGTTCTGCTGCAAACGTCGAACCGAGCAAATAATGGAAATGCAAGTCTGGCAGCCAAAGTCATAGTGTCAACATTTTTACAGATTTCAACAGCTTCTACAACTACTCGCTTACAAAGATAAAACTTGAGCATCACTAAAATATACATTTGAAATCGAAATTTTCTTAGGCACGATTTTTTTTTCTTTTGTAAAGTATTGTATATATAATATATCATATTGCCCTACGACACACAGTAGATAGTATAAATTACAGATTTGCATTACAGTAATGTATAGATAACGCGTAATCTTATGCATCTTTAAAAATAATTGGATTTCATAGACACTCACTAAGTATTACTAAATATTACTCGAAGTTTTTACAATACGTTTACAAGAATATAATAGTATAAGTAAAGCATTTCGTTTCAACGATTAGAGCACAACGGATCCCGCGGTTTAGCGTCGCGAAGGACGCGGGCGTCCACCGCGTCCACCGCGTCGACTCCGACCGCTTTACGCTTTAATCAGAGGTTACGAGTAGGTAGGTATATCTTAGACGAGAGAGGCTAGTTTGTAAATATTACGCAAATAACTGACACGATTTTCACGAATTGACAGTTTATGAAAATACAAATAGTATCGTGGGACGTCCCGTCGCGGCGATCGAGCGACGCTCAGGGGCCCCTCGGTCCCCGTCGCGAGACGTATATCAAAAATATGTCTCGTTTAACATTAAAAACTTACGCCCAGTTCTAAAACTTAAAAAAGATAGAGAAGCTAGCGCGGCTAAAACTAATCTATGCGATATCAGTCTCCACTATATTCTTACAATTTAGAAATTCCGTAAAGTAAATCACAGAGTTTGAAACGGCAAAATATTTGAGTTTGACTGAACTGTAGTTTCGTTCGTGCGACCGAAACCGACCCGCGATTCGGCGCGTTCCCTCCTTGATATGTATCTTTCTATAGACTTTGTGAAGCGTGAAGACATAAAGAAGTACAGAGAAAGTTGAAGTGTCCCTTCGCATCGATCCCGAGGTGCCGTCTTTTCTGTACGTCGAACGGAGAATCCTTACTTTAAGCGATCTAAAGTACATATTACAACACCTACGCAAAACCCGCGCCGCACGTCCGTCCGAAGGCTTCGAAGGGAGTCGCGCGAAGCACGGCGAAAAGGCAGCCGTCGACGGGAGATCCGCGCGACGGGGGCCCAAACCTACGAAACTCTTACGAACGGCTTCCGACGGTCCAAGCACAAATCGAACTGTCACCTCCGCGTGCGTCAAAGTATAAGTGAGCTCGCGTACGAACGCAACGCGAGCCCGACTATAACCTAGTCTTAACCATCTATTACGAATCGTATTTTATTATGTTATGTTCGAACGTAAACCAAATTATCTACAGGGTAAGTCATAAAATAAAGCGAGGGGGAAGGGGTCGCGAACTCATCGCGACGAAGCCGACTCGGCGATGCACTAGAGAAAATACGGACGCGGCGACCGCTCGACCGCGGCGCTCGTCGGGCGACGGAGAGTTAGACGGAATATTTAGTGAGATGCGTCCGACGACGGCGAAGTCGCGTTCGAAGAGGAAACCTACGAAAGCATCGCGGGAAAGAACCGACTCACAGCCAATATTTCTAAACCGGTCGCGACGCTCCGCTCTCTGAACTGAATCGTGAATCGAACCGAAATGTCACTCGAAACCTTATCATATAACTTTGTACATTGAATCCAAACGTCGACGCGTCGAATGGACGTAGGCACTCTCTAGGCGGGGCGCGTCGTCGGCCCCCGGGCGGCGGCTCGGAATGAGATCAGTGGTGGCGAGGACCGGCGCCGCGCTCTACGAGGACGTGAGGTACGACGAGAACGCCGTCTCGTCCCAGTCGCTCGTCACGCCGATCTCGCTCAGCATGTCCGACACGTCGGGCGTGCAAGAGAACTCGAAGTGGGAGCCGGACGAGGAGGAGGCCGTCTCGAACGACTCCATGTCCGTGAGGACGTCCAGGTCGACCTCGCAGTCGGCCGGCAGATGCAGCAGGTCCGTGATGGAATAGAGGTCCGTGAGGTCGGTCTGCTCGCGGCGGGAGTTATCGTCGTAGAGGCAGGCGGACTCGGGGGAGTCGGGAGCGCCCGCGGGCGACGCGGGCAGGGCGGGGGGCGCCGGCGTGTCCGTGACCATGGTGGGGACGCTCGGGGGCGCCGGACGCGATCGTCGTCTAGCCGAGCCCCTGTTGTTGTTGGTGTCAGCGCGCTGCTTGCGCTTCTGCTTCGTGACGCCGCCGCTCCGCTGCGTCGGCTTGGCCGTCTTCTTGCGCGGCCTGTACTTGTAGTCGGGGTATTCCCTCATGTGGAGTTGCCGGAGCCTCTCGGCCTCGTCGATGAACGGCTGTCGCTCTTCGTCGTTCAAGGTCTTCCAGACGCGGCCCAGGTTTTTGGAGATCTCCGCGTTGTGCATGTCGGGCGTTTGCTCGCAGATTTTTCTGCGCTCGATCTGGGACCACACCATGAACGCGTTCATCGGCCTCTTGATGTGGTTCGGGTTGTTCTTCTTCGTCTGCGAAAAAGAGAAAGGGGAAATGAATAAATCGAAAAGTGTCAAACGAAATCGCTCCGGACGGAGTCGAATCTATTAGGGAGATTTACGTTCGGAACAGAATCGGCGTTATCAGTTAAATTGTAGAGAACGCAATTATTATTTCAGGCGTGTCCGATCTGCCGAGAGCCGTCTCCCGATTAGTATGCACGATGCGCCACCGTTAAGTTTGCGTGCCCACTATTAATGATACTGTTATCGTAGGAATTATTACTATTATACAAACGAGTCGAAACGTAACAAATATCGTAGACCCTAGGAAAACGTCCAACGGAATTGATTTTATTTCCATTTGGATTATTCGGTGCGTAAACGCGGGGTCGCGCCTTCCGCGCTTCGATCGAACGTTACAAAACATTGAATCGAATCTAACGAGGATATTAAAGGACGCAGGAAGTCATTATCGAATCGTATAGGAAGCGCGGAGGACGAGCAGATATGGATGATGTGGATCTCGTTTTCCTCGCGTCGAAGGGCGCTGCGGAACGACACCGCACTTTAAGAACATAAGCGAATATCTGTTTTATTATTCAAATCTTACTTTCGCTCGACTCGGCCCGGTCCCGATGGTAACGGCGAAGGAAAAAATCTCACTTTATATTTTTTGCTCGTCTTATTTATATTCAGGACAAAAAAGGGTTAGTCGGATGGCGACCGCGTCGAGCTCGGTCCGCCCACTTCGACTTTCAAGGTGAACCGAGATAGTTTTTTACCAATCGATCGTATTTAAATCGTCGATAGCGTTATCACGATTTCTGTATTAGGAAACGCTAAACCGTCGCCGCCCGACGTGATATTAATTAATCGGGGACCGATTCATCACGACGAACTAACTCGAATAAAGGCGAGTGGATTTTTCAATAAGCGGAGAGACCGCGAGACATCTGCGAAGCGAACTCGAGCTTATTGTTCAACTTTAAAAGAAAATAAGAGAGATAAAATAAAGGATAATATAAACAATTTTCATTCAAAGCTAAAAGATATAAAAGGGGATAGCGAAGGGACAGTTGAATAAGGGGAGCATAAAAACTCGGCGCTTATATAAGGTTACAAATGAAGTTATATTTCGTATGACGATAAGACACTATTCGCCGGTGGATCGAGGTCCCCCATCGCGACGGGATCGCTCGATTTCGAGCTGACGTACGATTTCTAATCCTTCTATTTGTACATTTCCATGGGAATGATCTCGTGTTATCCCGCGCTTACCGTTTCGTACGACTCCGTTGTTTGATACGATTTGTGGGGATTTTCTTTTTAAGGATCGCACTGACGACTTAATACTGTTTTGCACGGTTATCCTCGCCGCAATCTAAATATCTTCTAGGCAGAGAATAAGCTAACTCAATACGTTGTCTGTATGATAATTCGCAAGTTAATTTCGTTAACTGGTTAGTTTCAAGGAGAGCCTAACGTTTGGCGGAACTCGTCCACTAGAGGTGATACGGCTACAACCTTCTATTTTAAGCAGCGCATGCGCACGATACAAGGGCAAGAACTTACTTCCTGAATCTATAACCGAAGACTTTGACCGCTTAATCCCACTATTATAGGCGAATTTGTCGCAGAAAATGTGAATCTTTGTGATCATAAACGGTAGCAAAGATGTCCTTCCAAAGATCAATAAAATACATAAATTGTATCTCGCTAAATTAAAATTCATTTCGTTAATTAATGAACTGTTGGATAGTTTACGAACGTGATTCTCGATATAACGATTTATTACGAGGTCGGAATCGATCTGACAAAAATAGCGATATTAAAATAATTGATGTCAATTAAGATGTTGTAAACGGCGCCCTAAGTCTGCATTTAAAAATATATCCAATTTTTAGAAGTTCCAACTTTATACGACACATAAGTTTTGGGTTATATTCTGCTATACCTATTTTAAGTTTAGTGTACCTATTTGAAACGCCAACTATTACAGAGAAAAAGGCCAAGGGAAGTGAACTGTACAGATTAGCATAAAATATAGCCTAGAAATTATATTTAATTGGAACCAGTGAGAAAATCCTTGACACTCCTTCCGAAACTGAAAGTATGGAAGATAATAATTTTGTAATTACGGAGCACTATATTAGGACTGTACAATATAGTAGTAGTAGTGATGAAAGACATTAAAATACTTTTAAGTGCGAATAAGCCGTAAAAGGTTTTATAATAATGAGAATTGATTTCTCAAGTATTCGTAGTTACCGAGGCGTCACCGAATCGGCTGCCGGGCGAGGGCGAAAATTGTTTCGCGTATCGCCAAAAATGTATAAACATCGTTTCCTCGAAGGAAGCAGGTATAAATCATCTTTAAAAAACCTTATCGCGGCCTCGGCGACTCGCGAAACGGCCGGAATTGAAAAATAAACGTGCTCGTAACACGGAAACCGATGCACTCAGCTCGAAGCCATTATTCAGCGCCGGGTGTGGCGTTTTAATGGTGTACAAATACTCGCCGAAGGTTAAATCACAGATTTCCTGATTCTGCGCGCCTCGAAAGGTGCCTTCTAACCGTCCGTGTCAACGCATTAACTACGGCTCTATTCCGAGATACGAATTCTTCGGCATCTTTGAAAACTAGATCTGTAGAGTACGGTTGAGAAACATCAAAACTCAATTGATGAGCCACCAGCCACCAGCCACGGGACTCGCTTCATTAAAATCGCTTATAAGTCAATTTATCCGCGATTTCGCAATTGGCCGTGTATCATTTCTTAATGCATCAAAGATGAACCTTGAATGTTATTGCAACGAGCCTTACGTTGCCTTATAATAATCTCGAAAGGTTATTGTTAGATGGAGAATTGTAATCTGCACTATTGTAATGTTATGCAACGATTTTGTAATGCCGAGGAAATGTCATGGATTTTTCTCGTCTTAGTTTGTATTATTTATATAGTATTTGAATCGATTTATTGGAAGTAGTACATTTTTACTTTGTTTTAATTTAAATACTGTCTGTGGTTACTGCCAGTAGTACACAATAAAAAAAACACTTTAACGGTTTAAAACGCGTATATATTCGTTGAGTTTATTTAAGAAATTATAATATTTTAACTACGTGACCAAGACTGCTGCAAAGCATCCAAAACGCCGCGCCTTAGTTAAAATAATGTTCAAATAAGTTTAACTAATATATATCGCGATTTAACCGTTAATGTGTTTTATGTAAATGTAATATAATTTTCATTTTAATATCCATGATATATTTTAGTAAAAATTTTACATATAATACGTATGCGCGCAAGAGCCAGGACCAACCGCGCCCATGTTTGACAGAAGGAAGTCATTACGAAGTATAATTGAAATGTGTTTATAATCTGTAATTACACAGAGATCTTATTACGTACTTTATGTCGTCATTTCGAAACGATTTCGATACAGAAACGATAATAGCTGTTATTATTTATTATGTTATTGTTTTATCGCCCCACTTACTTTAAAGATTTTCAATGGTCCAACCGCACATAGTTTTGACGTTTTAAAAGGTTCATTTATGACAGACATGATGCTATCTTTTTAGGGTGAATTGTCAAAATCTGTTACGAACAAAAATCTGCATTTATACACTTTATAAGTAAAAGATACGTCAATGTAAAGGCCATTTTGACCTCTCAAATCCGCTTAACTTTAATAAGACCAGCGAGAGCCCCATAATCGTCAATATTCATTGTCGATGAGCAGAATAAAGGTAAGAAAGAGTTTCGTCTACTGTCATTACCCACGAACAAAGAGCCTCATTTGAACTCCAACAATGGGGATTGTCAACATAGCCATTAATAATTTCACCCATTCAAAGGTCTAACTGCTAACACTACATTCAAATTATCCTAAGAGATGCTTAACTCGGTATTATGACGCGTTAGTACCGACAATTGTTGAAATTTCTCAGTAACCTGGAATCAAGATATGAATATACAACTAACAGTAATAAAGGTTTAAATAGTGTATTAATTAAAAATATATATTTGTAAGTAGTAGTAGAATATATGTATGTAAAATTGATAAATTAACCATATGTAAATCTCATAATGTTAGAGAATAGATAAAAAGGGTTTTGTATAGAACCTTTCTATGTTAAATTTAAAAAAAAAATTCCGATCCTTTAGTAGTACTTAGTAATAAAAATAATGTGTAATTGAATACACGTTATAAATATTGTCTCTAGGTACTGTTTACACCAGTACCACACATTGAAATAAACTTTACTTTTAACGGTTCAAAACACGCAATATATTAACTTACTCTCAATAAAATCTCGAAAACAGTTTTAGCGTACTCTCTACCGCACGAGGTTGGTATTGATAAAGGTTCCCAGGGTCTACTGAACCCTCAAAATATATCTAGTTTCCGCTTGACCGGAGATTTTATTAAAGCTCTGCCTTATTACTGAAGCAATTTGATCGGGTCCGTTGAAAATAAAGAATGGAATTCAGACGCCATGTTGACTGTTATTGAGTCGCGTTACGCGTTACGAACCGTCTGTGTGAAATCATTACACTCACAAATAAAAGATTATTTATTAACATAGGTAGATGGGAGAGTATAATTTTACAAGGCTCCGAATTTCCCAGAAACAAGTATTTTACTGATTTTCAATTTAGATATATTTAACCAATTTTACTTAAGGTAAGTATTTTGGGCCTTCACTCTGTTTAAAACTAACTAACATTGAAAACTTTAACATTTTCGTTGACGTCAGAGACATCCTCCATCTTTAGTATCCCCGTGACCACGGCTGCTGCAAAGCATCCGAAACGTCGGCCGAAGTTAAAAATCGTTTTCAAATAAGTTTAACCAATATATCGCGTTTTAAAGCGTTAAAGTGTTTTATTTAAACAAAATTGTATTAATACGAAATTCATAACTCTGTATTATCAACTTAACCATTCAGGTCAAGGTGAGACTACAAGTAATTGTAATATATTTCGTGGGCAAATCCTCTTTGGTATAAGCTTACAATTTTA